CAATTCTCCTGCCTCAGCCTCCTGAGTAGCTTGGATTACAAGCACGCGCCACCATGCCCAGCTAATTTTTTGTATTTTTGGTAGAGACGGGGTTTCACCATGTTGACCAGGATGGTCTCGATCTCTTGACCTCGTGATCCACCCGCCTCGGCCTCCCAAAGTGCTGGGATTGCAGGCGTGAGCCACCGCGCCCGGTCCTATACTTTTAAAATGGTCTCCCAGGCCCTTGCTGTAACTCCTCCAAGGAGCCATAGGGGTTGGTTCAAGGGCCCAGATTTATTGTCTAGTTGAAACGCGACAGCCTGTGACCCAGAAGATAGCAATGGCTCTGGGTTCTTGCATGAGGCAAGGCAAGGTCTGGGGCCCTGGACAGAGCATCCTTCAACTTGGAGTTTGCCAGGGGTACCTTACAGAGGGGACTGGTCACTGGGAGCCAGTGATCTCTTTAGAATGACATCTCTAGCTCTTCACACCCCGTTTTAAAAACACATTCTGTAGAATGCTCAAGGAGCTTAAAGAGGCCACAAACCAGAGACTCCTCTTCTTAAGAGATTATTACCATGAGGACAAGCTCCATTCTAAATACCAACAAACACAGCTGCTGCTGCTGACTGCTGTTACCTTGGAGAAACCTTACGTTCAACCCGGGAAACTCCTAGTTAGAAAAAGAATTATAGTCCTCACTAGATTGACTTAGTGATAAAAAAAAATCACAGTAATAGATCCCTTGATTTTTTCAAAATGCACTTTGGAACCATCCACACATTTGCAGCTTGGATACATCTAAGGAATTTTTTTTACAGTAAGAATTGGAGAGTATTCATTAAATTCATCCCTTGGGGAAGATTACTGCTAATTAATTAATTGCAAACATTTCCAGAGGGAAGGTATGTCAATTGTAAAGTAATAAAATTAGATAGTCGAAATACTGACTCAGCAACTTTGATTGCCCATTTGTTCCTAAGCAGAATTAAAAAAAAAAATTTTATGGCAGAAAAAGGGGGCTGGTGGTGGAGAAAAAGCATTAGCCCTGTCCCTTGGTGATATGGTTGCAAAGGAGAAACTACCATATAGGAATTATTGATTTTCAGCTGATTTATAAGATCTCTGCTGTATCAATGCTGTGTGCAGGGCCTCCAGGCCTACTTCTTGTCTTTGCTCTCTAGGATTTGAGAAAAGCAACACAATTTTTAGAAAGAAAAGAGGCTGAGGAACAGTGGGGAAGGAAATTGGGAGGTAGGACTATGAAGGTATCTCAGCATTTTTCTTCTTCTGGAAAGAAAAATGAACAAACAAAAGAGCATGTTTTATGTGAAGATACCTTTTCTATTGTCTTCAACGTTGCTTGATGGTTTTTGTAGCTTCTATTAGAATGTTTCCCAGGGAGGAAGTCCTGCCATATCTCCCCTGGCTTCCCAGCCCTGCAAGACCTTGATTTAGTATTTTCTTCCCAGGGAGAGGCTGCACCCACCGTAAACCTCCCCTGTTTTGCCAACATTTGATTGTTAATGGGATTTCCTAAAAATGGTTTATATGAAATGTGCCTACTCTTCTTGTTATTTTGGGACTCTTGTAACAAAACAAAGTCAGTGGGTTAAGCCAATCTCAACCTCTGTCTGGCAGAAACCCCAGGTGAGAAGATGTCTGTTTCTTGGAAATTCTGATTGAGGGAAGCTGCAGTAGAATTTGCTTTTGTCCTCCTGATGGTTCACAGTCTCCCACTTCAGCAGCCCTGGGTTTCTCCACCCTGGCAGCCTTTCATTGCTTTGTTTAGCGCTGATTAATTTAGTTTCGGAGAAAAAGCCCCAATTGTATATGTGTACACACAGAATTTTATTGAGGCAAGTACATAAATCCATCAAATACAGACCCTCCCAGTTATATTTAAGGGAGTTATTCCACCTAAAGTATTTTAAACAAATGATACAGATTCTTTTGTTGTACTGTGCAACATGCCTGATAGTTCCTCTAGCTGCTCATTAAAACAAATATGAAACAAATTAAACAGTCAAAAGCCTATCTGCACCAGAGAGAGTACTAATCCACATTGCTTATTTGAAGCTCTTATTGCTTTGCTTCAAATGCACTGAAGTTCCTGTGCAGGCAGAGTAAAGAATGTAGGATTCACAATAAGCTTGCATGCAGGTAACACAAAAAAACAAACAATAAAAGAAGGAAAACAAACTGTATTTCATTATTTTGGGTTAAAAATGAATGTGATTTTCTAATGATTTATAAAGACAGCAGATTTTACAGGGGGAAATATAACAACCTGGAAATGCCCCAAATCAACTTCAAATGCCTCAAATCCCAGAAGGAATGAGTGAGCACATGAGCATAATAACAGAGTTGAAAATGTGCTAAATTATATTTTTTAAGTATGGATTTTTTTAGTGACTGTTTTTGAACTGAGAAGAATAAAATTTCCTCAAATCTATGCATGAATGAACAAGTGCATCTGGACAGATGCATCTATAATTTATACTGATCAGTCACTGCAGGTCTCATGGAGTAAAGCCGAAATGAACACTAATTGTTTTGACGGAAGTAGTGTGCACGGCGTCTGATTGTGAAATGCAGTGAGTCCCTGCCTTGCCTGAATACATATTGTCAACAGCAACTCTGGCATCAGGAGGCGAAAATAAAAAGGCAATAATTCCCCAGATGAGAGTGTTGATGTCTCTTGTCAAAAAGGTGGCATAGAAAAAAGAATTAACTACTTTGGGATAAAATAAAAAATAAGACTGAATGTAAAGGTCTTGCTTTGCCAGCATTGTATGTCAGCTTAGAGTTAAAATTAATAAAGTGTGTTAATAGTAGTAAAATTTTGTAGCATTTGTTGAGTGTTTGGGAGTTTTCCTAAACCCCTCTGCTTTATCTTATTTAAGGCCAATGATAAGGATATTGGAGAGGTGAGAAGCAAGTCTAAGATCACACAGCCAAGTAAGTGGCAGAGGAAGAACTATACTTCAGACCTCCCGATTCCGGGTCTTTTCACAGAACCATATTTTAAACACATAGAAATCCAGACACAGTCAGGAGATATTGCTAACTCCAGCTGGACTGTGTGAATTCATGTATCGTGTGCCATGAAGATGCAGTATAATTTTGCAGAAGAAACATCTTAAAGAGATGCCACCGTAAGAAAATTAAGCTCAGGGTCTGTACCCCCTGTTTTATGTCAATCTGTATTGTGAAAAAGCTTATGTAGTAATTGGGAGTTTTAGAAATTTGGTGTGAATCATTAATTGAATGGCAAACAGCAAACAGACCCAGCCATGACTGATACATACATACACAACAAACAACAACTACAACAACAAAAACAAAATAGCACTCCTCCCCTGAGAAGAAAAATCCTGAAAAAAAATTCAGCCAAAAGATAGTGTTTCTGTTTCTATACTGGTTTAAAAACAATTCATTGAAATTAGTTACTGATATTTTCAGGAAGAGGACTTTTTGAAAGTCCGGCTTTGGCATCAATAGGTGGGGAGGTTTGCTGCACTAGCTTCTCATTTTTAAAGCAGTTTTTATGTATTAAAAATTCTTGATTATTTTTATCCTGTAGATGAGGGCATCTTTCTAATGAAAAGCTCAAGGCATGTGATGTGTTTTCAAGGAATTAAACTTTAAAGTAAACAACAGATATACAGATTTGAAAACCAGGAAACAGTTTTTGAAGCCTAAGTCTTTGGAAAAGAAATGCATGTAAAAAATTAAGACTTTAAAGGAATAACACACAGGCACTCACTGGGATAAGACGCTATGCCCTTCCCCGCCATGTAACAGGACCTAGAAATGGTCCTTCAGTGTACAATCAGGGATAGAATCACGGTCTATACAAGCAGAAAAGGGAGCCGTGGCTTCGGCTACAGGAGGGGCTGTATGTTTTTGCAAATAGCCTCTAACTGAACATGCAGTTTATAAGGATATATTGCTAACATGCAGTTTATAAGGCTATTTTGTCGTTCTTCCCCCAAAAGGATTTCACCACGGTAGACTTGAAGCTTTCAATTAAAACATGAGCAGCTTCAAGCTTTATACATTTTCATCTTATTAGCGGCATTCCCCTAGAATTCTCCTCCCTGTGCTTTCTC